CAGTATGCATATGAAGGAATACATGCAGGATGTCAAACTGAAACGGCAGCAGAAAACTGTTTAAACAGTTTAAGACTGTTTAAGACTGGCGATCAATACAGAAGAATTCAGGAACAACACTCTACACCGATGCTACGCAATGATTGGCCAGTCTACGTTTGAGAGGAGGGGCTTAGCGAAGGGTCAATTCCACTGCCTAACTTTTTATTTGGACAAATAAAATCTGGCAAAGACTCCCCTTCCAACTGGACTAACTTACATGCTTTTACAGGCAGAGCAGTGGGAAGTCCTCCCAGTGTTTGGCTGAAAATATTCTCCATTCAACAAAAATATTGTTTTAGGTTTTGAAAATATTTTCAGGTTTAATGAAAAAAACAAAAAACTGAAGCTGTAGCACACTTTGCTGGTTGGTGGCAGAAGTTTTCAAAGTTGCAGAAGCTGTAAGTCCCCTTATACCTGGAGAAGGTGGACAATGGCACGCCTGCATCTGCAGGTGTAAAATGCTGCCGCTTTTATTCTCCTTATCTTCAGTGAGGGACCCAGATTTGAGCACAACTGCAGGTCTGAAAATGAAACTGGCTGAGCCCGGCTGTTTCAAGTGACTTGACATTATGCCTTTCAAGGCGGTATTATTAGATAAAGCTACTGCACAAACTCGCACTTTCGAAGACTATAATATGTGTAGTGATGGTCGAGGAGTTTGGAACTCCAGACTAACCGTACTCGTGGGCTTTGTCAACAACCTTTCATGTCGCTCTACTTTCATACTGTACTTCATGGGTGCACCAAACCAGTATGGAACTCAATAATGCAGCTTATTTCATGTCATTTGGAATACGACTCAAAGCTTGTGCAGCCTGTCTGTTGTCTGGTCAATTACAATGTTCAGCATTTGAATCTGAGTACAATCAGGCGTTTTCAGGGTTCTTAGCAGATATGCATCTGCAGACTCAGGCCACTGGTGCAGGGCTTCATTTCCACTGAATTGTTGGCTCAGAGCTGCCCTCTGTGTGCATACCTGTGCTTGTGCATGAGTCTCGGCATGCGTGTGTGTTTGTTGCCTGCACCTTGCCCTATACACGGTTCAAACAGGGCAGCGGAAGAAGATATGAACATTTGGTGCCAGGACCTTTTGTATTGTGGCACAATATTCTGTTTATGCAAACATGTCATGCATAAGATATAAAACATAGCTTTATTTGTTGCCAAATGAATGTTCTAGTCCGAGCTGGCTCTTAAACTGCATCTGAAATCAGCTCTTATCTTCCATCTCTCAACACTACTTTCATGCTTTCCCTTGAGCATTTGAAACTTCAAGGATTCAGCATTAAAGGTACATTTCCAGAGTGACTTCTACCTTTTTTATAGTCACGATTCTGATCAAGGAATACCTCCTGTTCATCTCAGATCAACTAAGTGCATGAAAAAAGATGAGACTTCTCTTTTAAATCAAGAAAGGAAGAAAGGAATGCACATTTACTCTCAGCTCGCCTTGGGGCCTTAACCTGCACCAAACATGTTTTTGGAGAATAGAATAGAAGACTAATGGCACCTACTGGGGGCTCCCACATGCATACAACTGTACCATACAACTGCTATTATGGCACACTTCCAAGAACAGAGATATATTTTATGGTATAATATACAAATGATTTACAGATTGCAAACAGACATGCCTGAAATGTGCTAATAAAAGTGTCCTCGCTCCCTTTCACAGGACAATATATTGCTTTTTACTTTGCAATTGCTGTAGTGTTATCATTATAAATTACCCCATAATTAGTTATTATCTGTGAAGATTTGATGCTGATCTCACAAAATGCAGATTCTTTTCTCTGCGCTGACTTTATAATCCTATAATGAATCTGTCCTTTAATTTTAAAGTCAAAAAGCACCGTCATTCCCTTGTTGTGTGTTTGTGTGCGGGAGAACACACGAATGCAAGTGGAGGCATGAGAGTGTCGGTGCACTTTCACCGACTACACGAACGCGTCCGCCTGCTGCTGTCTGCTTTTTTTCTGTCCGTGTTACCTGCAAAAAAAAAACTCCTGACCCACCAAGAAGATGCCCACAAAATGATATCAGAGATACTTCACACAGCCCTTTGTGGTGAACTCAGCTCTAACCAAAACATTCACAGTTCAATAGATCCTCTTGTGAACGCTGTAAGTGAGATAGAGGAGCCTTCCCGGCACTGTCACAGCTTTAATGAGCCTTCACACAGGGAGAAGAAACAACAATAATGAAAGACTACCTTAATGAAACAATGACTGGGGGTTTTCAAATTGGGATTACCCTCTCTCATTAAAGACTCATAACTAAGATCCATTTCCCAAGCCATCTGATTCATCAACTGCTAAACTATGCCAGAACAAAGGTGGATTTCATAATATCTCACACATAACAATTAAAATACACTTCATGGGAATAATAGGAATATTGAAAATAACAGGGATGCATTGTGCTTTCAGATCAATGATGCTACCTCTAAATGGGCAAAAGCCCCGACGACAAAGCTTGAAAAGCTTCCTCAGCTTATAGCCTTAACCTTAATAGTGGCACTGTGGGGACACAACATAGAATTAAATGTAATTATGAAAAAATGTTTCCAACCCAAAGAGGTGCCTGTGAGAGGGAAACCAGTGAAGCTGTATTCATTTCACACAGCCCCCCGGGTGCTTAGAGGATATGGCAGTCCTTTATTGGCAGCTGTTTGATCAGACTAACGGCGCTCCTTAGCTGAACCATATAGCTGCAGGTCTGATCTAAACTCCTCATCAGATTCAAAGGAGACGCCGCGTCTCCAATGCACTCCAGGCTCCTTCCATAAACACAGCTGAACTATTCTTTTGAGCGCTCCTCGCTTGTTACTGGCCTCCATTTGTCTTACAGAAAGCGGAAGGAGTCTCAACCGAGCCCTGAGGAACACCGCCGGGCTTTGAAGCAAATTCGACATAGTGGTCAAACAGTGGAAATACAATTTCTGGGTCTGTCACATGATGCCATGGAGCCAAAAAAAGAGATAATTTCTTTCCCCATAGACTTACATTGGACGTCTGTAACTCAGCGGATACACTTTTTTGTGTGTGAAAAAACTTCGCAAAACTAACATTTAAATAACCAAGAGCCAGAGAACAAGGCTGGACCAAAGGCTGGGAGGTGGGATTCAAGAAAACGTGAGTGTTTTCATAACAATGAATGGGAGCCCTCCTCCAACGCTGTATCCTCTCTTTAAATCCATCAATCTCGGAACCAATTCTGACGAGGGATAAGCCTCTGGGGGCAAGGAGACTATACTCAGTGGGCCAAGAATTCCTTTTCCTGTGCGCTGCTCATTTTTTACAGTACGATTACCAACTTGAGATACGAGACCAGAGTTGGAGTTGAGACACGACGTGTACGACCGGATTATTTCAAAAGTAGCCAGTTTACTAATTTTAAACTAATAAAAAGTGTCAGACGATGGCCGTTGGTTTCCCAGATTGAATTTTGGATGATGTGTTCCGCCTCTGTTGCTCTCCACCTGCATTCAACCAAAGCCTGCTCGAACGTGATTGGTCAACACATACTCGGACTACAAACGATAACCAGAACTCTTCCGATGCCAAAATCTTGTCCCGTTGCTTCCAGGTTCTACACGTGAATGCAGAATCTGTTTAGACAGCCAACAAACGTGGTACAGTAGATATGAAATTTATCTTACCCGCAGTGTGTCACTGTTGTATCTGCCTGTAAGGGTGTGAAATTTTACCGTGAGGGCATCTGATAGCTCGTAGATCGATCGTGGCTGATAGTCTTCTTGCAGTGCATTGTGGGAAATAACAGGGAAAGTAGAGGGCAGCAAAAGAAAGAGAGAAATAAATCACACTGAATGGAGGTGTAGCTAGCATGGCTCTGTTGTGGGTTGATCAGGGTTATCAGAACCATAGTAGATGACCGATAACTGAGGTGTGGTGTTGTGTAAGTGTGTGTGTGCGTGTGTGTGTGTGTGTGCGTGTGTGTGGGTGTGTGTGTGTACCTGTGCGATCTGAATGACTGCACAACAAAGAGTCTGAATGGATTTAGTCAAAGCTCAAACTCTGATGCAGCTGCATTCCGGGGGGTTTATGATGTGAAACACCAAAGGAAAGGAAACAATGATCACATTCATGGGTTGTCATTTTCTTCCACTTTTATCTGAGGAATTTCTTGAGTTTTGTTTTTTTCTCCCCGTTTTGTTTCATAATGTAATGCGTCCACCTTATCCAAAGTGGGTCTTTGTTTGAAGACTATGTTTAAAAAATACTAATAAAGTGTGTTACCTCTACAGTAGCATCCGTACTTGCATAAAAGGTAAAGATGTACTGTAGTTATGTACATAGGCCTAAAGTATTTCATGTGCATGGATTTGAGTGTGAGAGCCTCTTAGCTTAATTGAGAATCATGCAATAATGTACTTTGTATTTTAGTTAAAATTTCCATTAAATAAGGTGTTTTTAGTTTTGTTACACCACTTGGATTTTGGCCTTCAGCTTGCAGAATGACGTAGGTGTAGAGTTTCATCTTACATTAATCTACTGTGCTCCCCTCACATCTGAAGGTGAAGACATGTACCTGTAACCAAAACGTCTTTGGACGCCAATCACAGTCCAGTATGTAATTTACACAAGTGTGAAACTTCAAGCCTCTAATGCACACATACTGAAAATGGAGTTTTCAGTGAAATAGGACACTATGCAGCAGTCAAACTTTAAAGTGAACAAATTCTACATATTCATAGATTCAGGATCTTTCTTATTTTTACCAAAGTAATTATACCTTTTTTTGTGGAAAAACCATATCAGACAGAAAATATAATTCCAATTACAGTATTTTACACGTCTTAAAACATATTCAAATGACTTAGAAACGACCTATTCATCATTGTCCTTTTTTTTTGGAGTCGTAGGTGTTTTATTAAAATGGGGAAAAAACAGTAGAAGATTGAAAAAAAATGAGAAGAGTCAGATGTGGAGGTGAATAAAAGCTTTAATTTAGTTGTTTTTATTTTCATAAACTTATAAACTTTGTTTTATGGTACAAAAAGTTACAGAAAATGCAGTTTTTGTGTTTTGAATAAATTTGCAGCCATTAGTTAAATTGGCCTCTGCATGTATAGCTCTCATGTTAGCAGTAGAGTGCTGCAGGGATGACGCATTTTAGATCAACCTGGAAGTTAGAATCACACTGGTTCACTCGACAAAAAGCCAATGGGATTTTGGATTATTGCAGAAAATAAACTCTGTGGCAAACAAACATTCATGATGCTTACATGTTCTAGTTCAGGAAGATAATAAACACCACTTTTTAGAGTTTTTAAGCGTGAATCTAACAAACTACATCACGGTCGCATGACTTCAGCGTCACCACAACGAAGCTAAAGGCGGACAAGTCAGCGTGATGATGTTTAGTCTCACTTTTCACGAGTGGGATATTTACTGACAAAATATGTAACATAGATACAAAATGCTAAGCTCAACCATTAAGCTAACCAGAGACCTTATTTCAGGCGTCTAACCAAAAACTCATTCAAAAAATCCATTGACTTCGAGACGAGGGAATAAAAAGGGCAAAATTGCTGACTCATTCCCGGTTTTAGGACTCATTCCTGCAGCACTCTATTGGAATATCTTAGAAAGGAAAGAGCAGAAAGCCACTAAATGTTGTTCTGTGGTACTGGTCATCCCAAACACTTCCATTAATTTGTACTGAAACAGCATCCCCCACTTCTAACTGCAACGCTATGCCATTGGATGCATTGTCCTCAAGATCTGTGGATGTGGTGCTACGGTCAGCAGCCGTGACCATGAAACGTCCGTTCTTTACAAGTCTCATAATCATACTACGATCAGTGTGTGCTACATGGCCAGTAAATCTGAAGTAATACACTCCTCTCACGGGTGCAGTGAAGTAACCTAAAACACAGGCAGAAAAGAACAGTCACAACTGGTAGAAGTGAAGAATGAAACCAAGTGGCCAAAGGAACACGATCAGACTACCTGTGTTTGGGTCGTAGTGGTTTCCAATGTTGGTGAAGACATTTTTGAAGGTGAGTGGAACATACTCTGAGCTGCCAGTGTTACCTTCACCAGATGTCAGAAGGGAGGCAGAAAAAGCCACTTTCCCCACTGTGGCAAAGTTAAAGAACACACAATCAATTCTGAATTACTGTATGTCACCTTCTTCCTGTACACATATACTCACACATGCACAAAGCACAAACATTTACCTTTATTGGAATTCTGAAGTTCCTGCAGTGCAGCATCTTGTCCTGAAATCATGACAAACATTCATGACCATGTGCACACAAATCATCACACAAATCATGAACCCTTAAAGGTGCTAAATGTGATAGTCAAAGCTTTAATATGGCAGCAAACAAATAATGTATGTGATGTCTACCTGAGCCGAAAAGTCCCTCTTCCTCTGTGTGTGTTTTAATCTGAGCTTCTTCTTGTGCGTGCTGTTAGTGCATGTTTGTGCATGTGAGCGTGCACTACTGGTTAGCAGATGGCTGCTTCTCTGCGCTGCTGTCATGTAACTGTTGCAGCTGATAATGCCGTCCCGACCAACGGCGTTGTCGTGGAATTGAGCACCAACCCTCTGGTTCCCCCTCAGGTGAACGCCGTTAGGTCCGTCAGTACTTTAGCCTTTGTTTGTACTGTTGGGGCTAATAGCAGCATTAGCTGCGAGACGCTGGCTCAGCCGTCGCCATGTTGAGAGCCGGTGAGAGGCAATAGAAATGCTCCTAATCTTTAGGGCCTGATCAGAGAGAGAGCGTTTTGCAGTTTGTTGCTTCTTCTTTTGTTGTTGCATGAAAACCAGCGAATGAGTGCTAACAAACTTAACGCAAAAACAGTGTGCAAAACGCGTCACTCTCATTATCGACAATTACAAAACACCGCCTCAGGCCAAAAGGCGCTCCGTCTGGTGTTTACCTTCCTGCTGTTTCTCCACCTCCTCCACGTGGTGTTCAACAACTGTCAGTCGTCGCTGCAGAGTGCTGAGCTTCTGCTGGACGACTGCAAGCTCTGCAGCTTGAACTAAAGTGACAGAAGAAATGTGACAGAAAAGTGGAAACATGGAACAAAACGAAAATATCTCAGTTATGTTTGGCTGCAATGTGTTTACCGTCATTCTCCATCTGCAGTTCCTCTGCCAAGCTCTCAGCAGCCGTCATCCTGGCCTCCATGGCTGCAACAAGACTGCTCATGTAAGCTCAGCTACATCCATTTTGTTATAAAGTGAGTCCTTTATTACAGTGTACCTGTATTCTTTATCTCCAAGGCCTCCACTATGCTCTCAGCAGCTGTTACTCTGGCCGTCAGGTACCTCAGCTCTACTTTCTGCTCCACCACCATGTCTCTCAGATTCCTCAGTTCAACCCAGACGTCAGTCTGATGCACCAGCTCTTGTTCACCTCCATTAGCTTCAGTCCCGGCCCTCTGTGTCTGAGCCGTGTCATCGTCGCTACTCTGTGTCTGAGCTCTGCAATGATGGCAGAATATCAGTACCAGTAAGAACACAGAGGAAGTCTTCATCTTCGTTTGGCTGTTTGCTGTCTGTGGCTCAGCTGTGCACTTGAATGACCATTTATGGGTGTGTGCGAGGTCAGATGTGTCAGGTGGATGGTGGGTCTGCCAAAGCTGTGAGAAAGCAACACCTGTAACTGTGAGTTACGTGGCAGGTGGTGGAGATAAAAAGGATTGTGACTTTAACATACAGTGCATTTTCCTAAAATGGTAACCAGCCATGCTGACAGTGTTCTGCCAAGGTTAGCAAGTTCTTTGCCGCCTCCTCAGTACAATGGAAATGAAAAATATATTTTAACTAGAATTACCGCTCACTGGTCATGTTGCAGTTTACATCCATGTCTGTCCAAAATTTCATCACTTCATCGTTCTATACCATTTGTGTGAAATTGTCATAATTAGCATATGACTTCTTGAGTTACGTATTTTAGGAGGTCACAGTGACCTTTGACCTCCAACTTGAAATAACCTCCAACTGCCAAATAGAGTGCTGCAGGGATGACGTATTTCTGCAGACCAACCCTGGAAGTCAGCATCGCACCGGTTCCCTTTACAAAAAGCCAATGAGATTTTGCTGTTGGCTTTTGGATTATTGCAGAAAATAAACTCTAATGCTAACTGTCATGCTAACTCATTACCAGGTTTAAGGACTCATCCCTTCAGCACTCTATTTGAGGACATTCCCTTAAGGCAGTGGTCGCCAACCCGTCGGTCGATCTCGGAGACTTTCCCTGTCGCTCTCCAAAATAAAATAAAAATAAATTCAGAAACACATTGGGCCTCATTCTCGAACATTTTCTGAAGTGTCTTCTGAAATGTTTTCTTCCGGACTTCGGAAGACCAACATCAGAAAAGATCTCCGCCTGATTCATGAACGCCTGAAAATGGGTTCTTACCCAGCCGAAGTGTTCTCAGCTGTGCTCCCCGAATGAGGATTCTTAATAAATTGAACGCGCGTTCTCGTGCACCTGGATTTGCATACAGAAACGCCCCGCCAGCTCCTTATAAGGGCATGTGACTGAAGAGACGTGTGCACAATCGACAGACTCCACAGGCAACGCGAAAGCAACTTCACACTGATTAAAATCATGTCAAAGCGAGCAGATAGTGTTGCAGAATGTAGATGTGTCCTTACTTACATTCGTTGCACTGACTGAGAATTTTGTCAGTGTTGTGTTGTAACTTCAGTTGATAAATACAACAGTTAATATTGGTAGTTCATCCAGCCTGCTCATTGCAAATGTGTTTTTTCTTGTTCATATTGTGTGCGGTTAACAAATAATTTCCTTTTTATGTTGCACTGAAATTAAGTAATTTAGTGTGTTCTTGGTCACATCAATTTGAAAGCTGGACCAAAGTGTTTGATTTCATTCAATTACAATTAGGCCAAATAAAAAGCCTCAAGTTGTAAGTACAGTCTGGACAGTCTTTTTCTCTCAACGCCTCAATAGTTAGATCTTGCCTGTCATCAGGGATCTTGGGCTTAAAAAGGTTGGTGACCACTGCCTTAAGGCCTTCACAAGAACGGACCTGACGGACGGACAGAAACGGTGTCCCTGTTACTATAGTATAATAATAAAATAATCCACAGGGCACCCTATGCATATATGCATGTGTATTTGCACTATATCGAGGCAGAAAACAGATAATCTCAAAACCTGGCCGAATAAAACCAAAGCTAAAGCGCCATTTTTGCAACATGGGTAAACAGAGCGATGAACTAATTTCATTGCCACACACAAACAGTGTCTGATATAATTGTCCTCTCTGTGTCAGAGAGGAAAACAGAACTGACAGGACTCAGAACTCATTCTCTGTCATACCTTTGCAGTGACACTGTGTCAACATGATAAGACTTTCCACTGGTGCTTTTTTTCCCCTTCTGTCAGCCAGAAAAATGGCTCTATGTCAGGTGAAGTTGTTCTCCAGAATCAACTGGATCTGGAAATATCTCAAACACCTTGAGTGCAAGCGGGCATCCTTAGAGTTCCCTAGGCTACCCGCAAGTTATTGTGAAGAGTTGGGGAAATTTCCCACTGCAACAAGACCATTATCTGGGCGTGTTGCTTGTGAGTCATAAGCGTGTGCATCAGTGACAACAAGTTAGACAATTAGACAGAAATAACAACAAATCAACCTGTCATTAAAAACAATAAAATAGTTCTTGAAGCGTATAAAGTGCAGAGAATGACATGATTTATGCTGATTGCTGCTTGTGTTTGTGAGTAAGAATATTGAGCAGCTGTCAGTCAAAAAGAAACTGCTCACCGCCTCATTCAACAGGATTCACACCAGATAAACACACTGACATCAATCTAACAAAACACAGCCAGCGTTGAGGTGGTGGGGCAGGAGAACACAGCTGAGTGTTGTGTTGAGTAGATATACTGTACGGTTTCATATCTAATAATTTAAGAATAGGCAGAATACAATCTCCCAGAATCCTCTTCTCACTTTGCTTTCTATATAAATGACAGACCTGACTTTGCTGAAGGGGTGAACACAAACAAATGTACACATCCCACAGAAGTTTTAAAGAAGAGTTTTTTTGGAAAGAGAACACAGGGTTTTTCTACCCTGGTGCCGGAGGGGCCAGAGATAAAGAGAGTAATAGTTAGACTGCGGTCACATCGGTATGCAGACAGTCATGAAAGCAGCACAGTACCTGTTGCATCTTGCAAATTCATTTGCTGAATATTGTGAAATTTCGCCACTTAAATTGGGGAGGCCCTTCTTTTTTGATCACAACTCAAGGGATTGGTGGTAGGGTTAGATAAACACAAACGGTTCGGATTACAGATGATCTACCGATATACTCTTGTCTACTGATGCATTATCATCTTCATCAACATCATCATCATCAAAGAGGCAAATTTAATTATGATGTCTAGATGCTGAGGACTGAAATATGGCACCAATGATTTAGTAAACTCTGGTTAAATATCAGTTTGAACTCAAGTGCACGCCCTGTATAAACTCTACAATGCTTATTTTCTAGTTCTGTCCTCATCAATACACCATTGTCTGATTGTTAAACTGGATTGTATTAGTTTAAATAGCCTACATGCATGTATCCCTGGTGCCAAACAGCTGGTTGTTTAATCGTTCACCCAAAACAAGGCTAAGAGTCTGCAGCCACGCTAGCTAGCCTAGCTAAATGCTAACAACAGCATGCTAACAGGCTAACAATAATGCTAACATGCTTACATTGATAATGCTTAGATGCTGATGTGATGGAGGTAATATTTGCACCTGTCATGGTGACTACGTCAGCTTCTTATATATAATATATAATCTGGACCAAGTTTGTAGACCTGCTGACATTTCTGCCACTGCCACCAGCGTAGAAAACACATTTCTCACATGTGTTTATCAAACTTAACTTAAGCTTGCTTTTATTTACCCAGCATTTTAGATATTGCACTGCAACATTTAAAAATGTAAAGCTAGAAAATTAAGTCTAAAGCTCTTCTTTGAACATCTCCCTCAGTGGAGTTTAGCTCAGCTGTCATCATGTGACCTAACCGTGGAAAAGGAATATATTACATTTAAAGAAACAGCAAAATAAGGCTTATTGTCCAATGCCGTTAGCACCACGAACTGATTTATATTCACTTCCATTGAAGTGGGTTGTCAGGCATATCTTAAAACAGCTACACATCCATCCAAAACTAACAGCATGTCTACACACCGAGAACCTTTTTTTAAATATATAATTTTACACTTTACAGACACATTTCTTACTATACAGCCCCACAAATGCACCCGTATGCCGAGTTCATACAGTACAACCAGAAAGTAAATAACACGGTTTGTGGTGTCAAAAGTCACACATGCCGAAGATGTCTGGCATTACATTCTGTCAGAGTGGCAGTTAACAAGGCAAAGCATCGTCTGCGGCTCCTCTCCCATTGGTCAGAGAAACTGTTTCCAAGGTGTCGACCTGTGATTAGGACTCCAGTAAATCTTCCCACCCAGGGAGCCTTTGGAGAAGAGCTTCGCCTCAGGTCGATACGATCCTGCAGGGATGAGCTTACCTTTCCTCTGCATCTGCCCTCGGGGCTAAATCTTTAACCTGGATCTAACTTCCCTCTGGTCGCCTCACGGGTCAGACTGGAGGCAAAAAAGTCATTTTTTAAAGGATCGGTTAGATTTTTCTCTGCATTCGGCTTGATCGATTCCATTCCAAAAGGTGGAATATTAGGGATGTGGTGCAATATCTGCTGAAGTGTGATAAGATGACACCTAGTCAGAGTTATCAGGCACCTCAACGTGACAGGCAACCTCACATACCTTCCTTCATTCACCTCTCAGGCAAATTCCTCTCTCGTTGTCTTTCTGTCTGCATTTCTCAGCTCTTTCTTTCTTTTCTGAAGGAGTTAAGACAAACTTGAAGTCTGTTCTTTTCTATCCTTAAGTTTAACTTTAGCAGATGTTTTCTCTGAGCTCGCCCTGTGCCTTTTCATTCTCAGGCCACACTGATGTGACCCAAACCATGGAAATCATATTTGCCGCATAACCTTTTGATAAACTCATCTATTGTTTACTTTTCGCAGACCGAGCTCTCAGAGGCAACTCTGTTGTCTCCTGATGTAATCGAGCAGTTCAGGCAACGATCAATCATCACAGTTCCACTGTCAATATAATTGCTTATAATAGAAATGTTGACACATAACATAATCTACAGGAATAACTCTTATCTGCGGTGCAGGGACGCAAATTGACCAATCACACAGGCTGTGCTTCAAGACCCACATCTGACCCAGCCAATCACAAGGAGCAGCGGGAGTCCGGGAGGTTGAGTCTGCTCGCTACTGTAAGAAGTGGGCTTGACTGCAGGTAGTCGGCCTCAGCCCAATCTAGTGATGCATACTTCCCCCTGTTTATGGCAGGCAGGGAAGAGGGAGCGCTAGCCTGTGCTTGTCTGCTGCTGAGAATGCCCATTAACGCTCGGTTTCCCCTCAGGTGATGACCACCTGAGCTATCAAAGACAAGTGTGTCTGTACCCCCCCCCCCCC